TATTTTGGAATAAAACAAGAATAAATGTCGAGGCTTCTTAATTCTTCTGGATGTAACAACTGGCAAGAAAATGTCTGGCACTCGCCTAATACTCCATTGGATTGTTCAACATTATGATGCATAATCTTACTACTGATAATTCATTTAGTTTAAGTCGGTAAGAAGCAGATTTGTCGATCATATCAAACTGTTTAGCTTTTGATGTAGTTTATAAATTTCATTGAATTTTAAGAAATTAAAACATATCAGTTTAAATATTATGCGTAATTTTGTAATCTACCGCTCATGATGATGCAGTTGCATATACAACGATCCACTTACTGTGCATAACATGCAGACTATTAGAAACTTACTTGTCAGTCAAACACAATCTACCTTTATTTACTGATTTAACGAATAAAGAAAAGCTGAATTGATACCTACCAATAAGAATTACAGTATGACAGAATAACATCTTCGATGTATGTATACAAACTATTTAGCTTTATATGTAAAAGAACAATTCATTAACACATAGATGATAAATATTAGATAAGTTATTATATACAAAATCGTCGTGATACTAAACTACAAATAATGTTTTTTTATAGGGTCGGTTCATGGTGTCAAACTTCAACTATCCCTACAAACCTGATATGGTGATTAATGATCACGTGCTCACTAATGATTGATTTTGAGCGGTAATTCCCGGAGTTCTAATGAGAAGCCATGACTAGTGAAATTCAACCATGTCGAGTGTGTAGCAGTTAGTTACTCATTATAGCCAGAGAGAAATAGTTGAGTAATATCGTGAACTGATTGAATTCAAACATCTAAACACTTGAATGTCAGCTCAGTGGTTCAGAGGTTAAGCTCTTGGCAGGAGATCGAAGGTCCTGGATCCGATCCAGGATGAGATTGTGAATGCACACTGTTGAAGCACTCCATAATAGAACAAAACATCTGTCCAGTAATTCATAGTTTTCAATAAATATCTTACTGAACTTAAACTGATACAGCCTCAATTACCCTATAACTATTAAAATAAGTGAAACGAGAAATAAGTATACCACTATTATTCTCGTTGTCAATCATTTGCTCAACAAAATGATAATAGCGAAATAAATACATATATGTTCAATGATCTGAAAGCTATTCATTATGATAAACATTAACATTTATTATTAATAAAAATTATACGACTGTTTGAAGTTCATATAGACTTAACCCTCAATAAAAAATGGTATTGAATCAGTTAATATATATTCATGAATATAAGAGCTGAAAAACCAGAACCGACAGTTTAAATAGTACCTTATACACAGAGCGAATTCTGAATCCATTACATATCGAACTCATAATGATAATTATTATTACTATTAGCATTACTGTTATTACCAGTATTATTAATAATGATTTATTCAATATTAAAATTTAAAAACAAATTAATAGCATGAATATGAATGAATTGTGAACGAGACGTAATCCTAATACATTCGCATTACACTGATTTGTTTGATGTTCAAAATATTAAGGAAAACCAATTGATTTGTGCCAGATTGTCTAGTTGTAGAACAGATAAAGAAAAAGAATACTCATATTCCGTGATCCACACGATTAGTTCACCTCGATGACATAATTTAGCATTAAAACATTCTTTATGGTTCACTAACAAGTCATTAAATTGGAACAAATTGACGAAACGACCAGCTTTAAGATAAGAACTGTGGGATTTGAGCGTGAAATCCATCCATCTATATAATTACACAGAGTTGTAACGTTATGCAGTCAGTTTGAACTTTGCATTACAATAATACGGTATCTAATAGAAAGTATTTAGATGTTATTGAATCCTATCATGTAACGCATATAATGCATTAGGATTAACACTTATATCAAAATGGGTCTACTTTAGGAAAACGAGCCTGAAAAAGCCCTAAACCTTCAGATAATGACAACTATGTTATTACCTTTAGCACAAGCCTAGTGACGTTTTCTGAAACAGATAATGTTAGGAGTAAACTTACACAACACTTGCTGCTGGATGTCAGTCAGTCAGCTACAACGTAGGATCAGGCACATATGTGAATCGATCCAAGTTGCCATACCTCATTAGAACAACAAGATGAACACTGAATTCATAGAAGTGGTTAATTCAGTGGTGGTACTATATAAAAGTAAGATAGTACAGGAAGAAAAAATTAGTTCGTAGAAAGAAAGATATGAAGCGATTTTAATCTCACGGTTTGAGGGAAGACAGATAGTATATACATCGACGCCAATGTGATCGATTCTGAGCTGTCACCCACAGTATCCAACCATTGGTTACGATAGTCACGCGGACCTCAACCGAGTAGTCTGCATCTACCAACATGGCTCAGACCACAAGTTCGGTACTTCAAGTACAGATTCCACGTTTTGGTTTGGCCGCCCCTAACTTTCTTCCAACCATCCCCAACATCGGTTTGCATTGCAAGTCGTTGTAATCGGTGTTTAGGCATACATAACACGTGACCCAGCCATCTCAGTCGATGAAGATTGACAACCTCATCAACTGGTTTACCATCATTCCCTAATACCCTACGTCTAACCTCACTATTACTTACCTGGTGATCCCAGCAGATGCGAGAAATATTTCTAAGACATCTGTGGTCAAATATTAGTAGCTAACGTATATCTTCTACTCATAATGGCCACATTTCGCAGCCGTAAAGTAAAACAGAACGAACTGGCACTGGATGACTCAGTCTCTAGTTTAATAACGAGCCGTACATCAAGATCAATTAAGCATCGATAATATTGAGAGTGAATTAGACAATATATATAAGCAATTAAGCGATATGAGTTGTAAAGTAGAGTTATCTGTGGGCTCTTTATCAAAACATGATCTTCAACAAAAACTAAAAGCACCATCACCTCTCAAACTGGTGTCGTCGAAAAACGTGATTTCTGAGGAACTTGAAGACACTAAGGTTATCTGCATAATCTCCATCTCGTCGTCGAGTGAGTTTTTTTGAATATAGTCTGTTATTTATAAAGAACAACATTTTAACAAGACTTCTATATAAAATTGATCAAAAGCTGTTGAAATGAAAACATGAGCATTTAGGAAGATTTATGGTTTATAGGATGTGAACCGTAACATATTTGTTTCTTAGTATCCCTAAGTATTAGAAATTCATTCTGTTCTATATTTTGGGCTCGTATGTAAATTCGAGATTCAGTGGAGTCGAATAGAAAAAACATTTAAGTAAGTGATCGCCATCGTTTCTGTTGTTAAATAATGTATTATCATCAGCATAACTAGAATACATCGACGTTTGTTCTATCACATCTTTAGGTTTGGTATTTTCTAGTTATGCTAGAAAAATATCAGTAAATATAGGGTCTCTTTGGATGAGCCATGGAGATAAACCTGTCTATCAATACTACTTCTTATTAAAGTGAAACAGGATAACCGCAGTAATTCTTCTAGTCTCTTCGGAAAGTCAATCATGTCAGGTGACAGTTTATAATATTAATAGTCTAGTCTAGGAGAATATTAGTGACGGAAGAATCCACAAGAAAAAAGAACCATGTACTTTTTGCATAATATGATCTCATCTATTCTCTATTGGCAACGTTAAAACTACTTCAAACTATGAACAGCTGATTTTCTCTATATAGGCATAATCAACTGAGTAAACTTTCAAGTGAGCTTATAATGTACTGATGCGATTATCGTTAAAATGGGTCTTATAAAATTTTTCCGTTACGGGATCGTGATAATTTTATTGCTGACTAGTACCTATTATATAATTTGTACCTCAATAAACTATTATAAGTATAAACAAATGAACAAACTGTGCAAAGAAAAACTAATTAATTTCAAGTTTGGAGTTGTAGAGATTGTTGAATTTCATTGCATTCATGAAACGATCAATGTTAGACCACTATTGAAAACCTGGGAGCAATGGACAGCCGTCTCGTTTTAGTACAGGAATCCTCAGCAATGCACATCAACGATCCCAGACATGGGATTCAAACCCAGGACCTATGACTTCACGCGAACACTTAAACTCTAGACAATCAGGCCGACAGCCATTGGTGTTGATGTCTAACATCAATCGATCCACGATGTTGCGCGACCATCCTCGATTGTTTTATAATTAATAATAATAAATATATGAAGAATGTAGAAAACCAAAGTAATATATATCAGGAGGACCAACATAAAAAGAACAAGATAAATTCTCACCTTGTTAAGTTACACATATACAGAGAAAAAAAGATGAATATCAAAATCAAGATAGATTATACAATGTAAAACATCTCAAAGATCTATGAAACAGAAGAGAATATTTATGAACGATGTCTTAGTTACGCTGCTCACTTTGAGTTGTGCGAAATAACAAGGTGTGCTACTACAGTGAAACTACTGATTCACCAAACACATGTGAATATTTATTCGGTTGAACATTTTCTGCTAGATTATACTAACTGATGACTACATAGAAGTTAACTGAAATGTTAAATGATCAAATAGTTTAGAGGTGTAAATACTTTGGAAATAAGAGCGATGGGTTAAATCGTTCAATAACTCGATGGTAGTTGGTAACTAGTGGTTAAAAAAACATTATCTGGGTTTCATGATTGTTAGAACTAAACAACCAAGAGTATTTTATTTGTCACAAGATCAATGTAAACGTATTAGTTCATAAATTTTAATTAAATCTATTCGAATCCAAGCTTTTTATTCAGTTTTCTTAATTGAAGTCAATTAATTTTAATCTATTTATACGTCGTTATCTTTCATACAAATACCTGTGACAATTTACTGTAAATCGTTAGATTAGAAATCTTTTTTTACACCTAAATTAAATAATTTCGATTTGATTACTTCAGTGTCATCGAAGAGTTTCATTTCAACTCATAACTAATGAAAATTCTCTTTGAAAAAAAACCCTTTTAGTTCTTAATGGTTTTTTGTTACAAATTATCAAACAAGGAATACAACGTTGAAAAAACAACGCAAAACTCACTATCATCATATTGTGTAAATAAACAATTTAAAAGAGGTTGGAAAATTTTCTTTGGATCATACGGTTGTTTAATGATTGCACATAGATGTACGACAACTGAATTTAATTTTTATTGTTTTGAAGAGAAAAAAGAAGAGAAAAGAACGGTGAACAAATGATTGTAACGAGAGAAAAAAGGAGTAAAAACAACGACAGTAATCACAATATGATAAATATAGTATATATATATATATATATATATATATATATATATATATATATATATATATATATATATATATATATATATATATATAATATATATATATATATATATATATATATATTTAAAGCCAAATATAATTGGGTTCATTATCCACCTGAAACAATTAGCAATTTACGCTGTTTTATGTATGAAATCTAAAATTACTTACTTATTTTCTAATTTAAATTTTACCAAATAATTCATTTGCTTGAGTAGTTCAATTTATTTACAAATAATAATTAACATGAAGTGAGAAAAAGCAGAACGAGAAGGCAAATTAGCATAGTTCTACTATTAGCTAGTTAAAGGTAGTTCGACAGGAAACACAGGATCTAAATTGCGTGAAAGTTGACACACACAAGGGAGGGAGAGCATAAATTTAATGTCTTCTTCTAAAATTCGATTGCCGAAGTCACTCTATACTTCATTTCTTTTTCGACGCCTAATCTTTTCAGATTAAAGCTGATACTATTACTACTACTAATATGCTAGGATTTGTCTTGAAATAATTTTATCCCCTTATATTAATGTTGTAGGGAAACGTGAACCGATGTACATATGTTTCAGGTCCTATTTTGAGTATAATGCTGAAGATGATGAAAATTCTTCATGTTTACACATGTTCTTGACTTAATATAGTTCTCGTAGAAGAGAAGTCTTCCAATAAGTCAATTGTGAATAATGTCGGACATAATCAGAATGTGTCGGTTCAAGTTCATAAACATTATATCCTGAAAAACTAATAAAACGAGAAAAATGTTGAAATGTGATGAAAACAACTGAACTGGAAAAGGAAAACAGAATATAGCAATAATGAATAAAATCTCCAAAGTTGGAAATAATGATAAGACTTGAAGTTTTGAGGGAAATAAAGAATACAAGCTGAAGGCCCCAATGTGTATTTTGAAGCAAGGTTTCAGTAGACCTGGGAGTGTTTCGCGCACTAGAATTGTTGGCCATGGTGACGCTTGAAGAGGAAGGCAAAATAGGATGTTTATAGTTGAAGGTCGGAGTAGGAGGAATAACAGGGAATGAAGAGACATATTAATTATGAATACAGCGATCTTGAGTGTTGTTAGAGGTATGAGGGTAGCATCACCTCCCGGTTACGCACACCGTGGAACGGTTGTTCTAGAGGTACCCGAAAAGAAATTTGGTTAGAGTTGTTTCGAATGACCTGAGAACGTGACCGCAGTGCCCAAGGAACAACTGTTGGAGGCCGGTCACACACGACCTTTTTGTGTATAATTCTCGTGTTAGTTCTGTACTTGTTGAGACCCTACCGCCAGAGATTTAACTTCGTGAGGAAAGGCAAGTGAATTTTCAGGATCTACCTTTTCTAACTCCATCCTCCCTTTAAGGGAAGGCAGCATCTCTGTTCATGTACTGATCAGAATAGTGCATTGGAACAGACGGGCGAAGTGTCTGTAAAGTATGTTTTAGACACGTTGATCTGGTGAAGTGGAGACGAATGATTAGGTAATTTCCCTAGAAATCAACGTTCGCCCCCAGAATTGATCTCTCAGTAATTCTACTAATCACCAACAATGCTTTAAGACGTCTATGATCTAGCTTTAAAAACTTACGTCTTTAATTTTCAAACGCCGTGTTTTATAGCTGTAAACCATTAGAAAGTCTAGTACTACAACACCATACTTGTTTTTCGATAGGGAAATGGTACAAAGTACGAAAACATAAGTGGTATCGTCGGGTATTAACTAGTTAGAGCTGATTAGACTTCTGAAATAATGCGAAGTATTTAGACGAACTTGCAAATTCAGCGAGTTAGGCATATATTCAATAGAAAGACAACTTCAAAGTTAGCTATTCAGTGAAATGTAACTCAAACTTCTTTCTACATTTTTTAGTTAATCTAGATAGACATAATAGGAAAATAATCACATGAATAAAAACTGATGAAATGTAAGTGTTTATTGTTCTGGTCACACACAATGAGTGTAATACAAAACAGGATTGTATATGAATGGAATGTATTGACTTTATTGTATTTTATTGAAAACATAAACCGGTCTAAATTTAAGTTTGGCAAACATTTCTTCAGAACATTGGCACGTTTAATAAGGTCATAAAAAACAACTTTATATTTATTGTTTACAGTTATTCCAAACTATTTTTCAAAAACAAATATATATATATATATATATTACTGAAATGCACTCAAGGTTAAATTATTACAAATTATATAAAGTAACAAAGTCATGGTTAATTTCATAGTAAACTCGTTATTTTTTTAATAGGATCTTCACCAAGAAATTCGCTGGAGAGCTATTGAGATGTTGTTGTCAGACAACGACATAGAGAATTCACGTGTGGAAATCATTATCTATGTTCAGATTGTTATCATCACCAGTAAATGACTACGAATAAAGTGATTTGTTTGACAGTTTACCATAAACAATCAGTCAACATAAAAATAGAGCCTGACACATATATGTTCACCCAAAATGATATAGAATACCAATATGGTGGGATGAAATCAAAAAGTATGGTAAAATATATTGGAATAATGTATTAGCAATGACAATGACACAGACGAAATATATAGAATGTGATTCGAAAAAAAACTAAGTGGAAAATTTGTGTACAAAACAATATGATAATTCAAGGTAGAGGGGAAGATAAGGTGTGAATACATTCGTGTCATTATGAACGATTCTAAACCATGTCACACAAAGACACTAGACACTAATCATCGTTATCACGTGGACTTCAACCAAGTAGACTGAATCTACCTACATGACTCTGACCAGCAATCATGGAATTCGTAGGCTGACAGCATGTCATGGTTTGTTCTCCCCTAGAATCCTTACATCAATATACAATGCACGTCTCCACTAATCACTGATTTGTTCAAAAACTATGTACAATCATGGTAAAATTAAAAAACCTTTATGGATTGTAAAATGCACTTTTTTTTATTAATTTTGATAGTAATACTAATTAGATAATAAATTTTAACAAATCAACATCTAATTAATTAACACTTTATTCGGTAGTAAAAGAGGGATAGATTGTCTTATTTCAAACATTCATTAACTATATGCAATCAAAAAGCATTCATTCATAATTTATAATGGGATAAAATTTTATTGGTTCACTATTTCCTTATATTAAATCAAATAATTAATTACATAGTACAAAGTAGATAGATACATCAATAATTCATTTGAAAAAGCAAAACAGGTTAAATATGATGTGGTATACAAATAAACTACTCATTAGTAACCCTACAATGTATGGTATAAATTACAATCGGTTGTAGCGGTCACACTTCAAACTAACAATACATTATAAACATATTCGTAACACATGAAAAAGGCTATATTTGTTATTTATTATTGACATTCCTGAAAGAGAGAAGATTAACAGTGATAAAAGTTATTCAACATAACAAAATCAACGTGATTGTGTCGGTTTTTTGCAAATAAAAGGATAAACGTTAATTAAATTAATAGAGGTATAAAATGTATCTAGCATGATTACTACAAAACAAGTTATGTTAACCGACTGAAACACAGCTATTGGGCTTCAAGTTCGAACCTTATCCATTTACTTTCATCCAGATAGTTTTGTATAACCAGCTACCTAGAAGTCTTACACTGGAAATGATTATTTCTGTAATACTAGTTGGAGTGTACAAACATTTCCAATTCATGGTGTCATTTGGCTTGCCTTTCACCATTCTAGATTTAACCATAGTCACAATTTCTTTCACATTGGGCTCACAGAAATAGTTGTTGCTAATTTGGGTGTATATGGTATATTTAACAGATCGACATCTAAAACAAATGAATTGTATGATTTTTGTTATAAGTCGAGAGAGAATTAGCATACTAATCAGGTTGGGCTGAAAATACATTAATTTCATTACAAATGAGAGCATAAATCATTGTAGGTAATACTTGCTGTTGTTTTAACTTCACAATATATATATATATGGATTTTGGGTAGAGAAAAATATACATAATAAAATATCCAGACTAAAAAACCAGGCTACTCATCAATTGATTACAGTAAATGAAATTGATTCTCCAATTAGATACAGTTGAGTCATTCCCTGTGTATTTGGTAGAACGTAAGAATTCTGAATTAAAATGAAAACGAAAAATACTCAATTCAACAGTCAAATCAGTATGTTGACGAGCGCCAATGAGCACATGAGTTAATACAGACATACACATCTGTTCAAATGAAAAGAAAGATGGTACAACCAATCCTATTCACATATAAACTAAGACATACATATCCCTTATATAAAACTTCGAAGTTTTCTTATATATTCAACTAGAATTTTTTCTCGAATAGTTTAGAAATTATTCGTGAGTAACCAACATTTAAGTGATTAGGTCAACTCCCATGGCTTTTGAAACAGAAAATATACCAACGCACTTGATTTTTAGGATGATTGAGAATAACCAATCGAATATCAGTTGATTAGGATGTAGCATTGATATATGAAGTGGATGGAATGCAGCTTTGAAGCGCTGGCATTTAAACTTTATTATCGTAAAATTAACACTCCTAAGGTTGAACATTTAAACCTAAACATACTAACTCGAACACTTAAAAAAACATCACCTCTGAACTCCGTGGCATCTTTAGATGTCATTTTCTGGCTACAGCAATATAAAACTTTTTTTCAATAATCTAATATCTTCAAGGTGATCTACGGCTCAGTCACCATCACAATGAGTCAAAATGGGAAATCTAGTCAAGAGCATAACACTTGGTAGCAAGCAATCCTTAAATCCGTCTCAAATTGAACAATCGCTATGTTTATTCTGATTGGTCGGTTACATTTGTTTTAAGACGGCACAACTTAATCCTACCGTATTTGCTGCAGACATCTAAAGAGAGACAATTTATCATAACATAAAAAGATACACATTACCATCTAATACTTCGTAATTTATAAGAAAAAATCAGTCATTAACCACCCTCTCTTCATTCAACAACTATTTTACTCCTTATTGTGAATCGCTATCATTCAAATGATTCCTTGGATATTTTGCTAGAAGCAAATTTATGCATGATAATATCAGAATCTTCATCGAAAAAAATTAGGCCTGATAAACTTAACGAGATATTGTTTCTCTTAATTTTATTTTTTCAAATAACAGACTACGTTCTTTATTCATTGGTATATTTCGTTTGTAATCAAATTTCGGTTTTTATGTAGTTTCCTTGTGTGATATGATACTAAACTCAATTTTAAAGCTTTTTCAGTTAGATTAATAGAAGAAAGACATCTAAATGTTGGTTATAGAGTAACAAAAAACTTGGTGTTTACGAACTGCATTTTTAAAAAAAACTAAACTATCTATTGCTAACTTGTAGAAGCATTATCTTGAAATGGTTCATATGCATTCACTCAATGTCTTCACTTTAGACCCTGAGTTTTAAAATTGTTTCCAAGTTTATTTTCCGTTAGTAATTTTAATTATTTGTAACTATATTTTATTGATCGTAAGGTTCTATGGCAGTGTCCGCACTTGAAAGGCATATCAGAGAAGCACACTGATTTTGTAGACTCTCTACTCAAACACTACTGGTCGAGCCAGAGCTCATGGCGAACTGTCACCGGAATTAGTTACTTCAAATGATGTTTATCAGGGTTATTTGCTTTCTTTCTTTATATTTAACTTTATCATAGACATGCCTTTAGAAATAACACTTTCATCGTCTGACATTTCAGATGTTGATCTTCTACCAGGATATTCACTTGTTGAATTAGAATATGCAGATGATATACATTTGTTTGGGGAAAACGCCGACAGATCCAGTCTTTTGACCAACTTAAACAGCAATCAAAGCAAGATTTAGATGTGATCCAGTTGTGGCATGCTATGTCCTAATCTAATACACTGTATACAATGCACTAACCCCCAACTGGCACTTTGAGCGAGAAATGATATTGTGGTACCTAATAAAATGCACAAATACTCATTTATATATATACACTACGTTATATCCGTATCCTGACCAAAGGACGAGTTTAATGAGCAGCAGTTCTAATTTATGAATGTGAAACATGGCCATTAAGAATAGAGGGTGTCACGGGTTACTATTATCCAATCTTTGTATTTTTATACTATTGAGTATACAATCCTTGAGTTAGGAAAGTAAAGCTAACTAAAAATATATAAAAACTGTAATGTATCGCGAAATTCATTTTTAGACAAAAAGGAAGAACGAGTGATCAGCTTGTTTATTCATAAGACAATACAAATAACTGAGTGATATAATCATCTTAGTTATTTAATAAATCTTCGGTTATCTATATCATCCACAATAAGCTACTCTTGAACTACCGAATCAGCATTATTGTATGAATAAGAAATATTATTATTGGTAATGTTACGTTTCTGAGTGGAATTAATAGTAATAATTTATATTCTCAGAATAATAATTACAGAATTCACGCCAGTTTACAGACATGATCAATTTGATATAAATATTAACATTAGATGTGTAGAACAAACATGTGATAGAAGGAAGTTTTAAGTATACTAGTTCAGTAATTGTTTAGGTAGTACATGTATTACAGCGATTCAATGCATCAGCCGGGAGTTTTTAATATTTCTTAAATGGACAGCCTGTTGATTTATGAACGGAGTAATGAAGGTCATTTCGTGTGCCAGAGAAATTAAAACGAAAACAGAGAGCACGGAACAACAAAGCAGTAAGTACCAAAATATATGAATCAGGTCTACCTAAATGCGTGTGTCATGTGACACAGTGATATACTGTTGATGTTATTCAAATTAGTTAAACTTGCTAGGGACGGTGTTAACATAAAGTGACAGCAAGTAGGTGGTTTTACTTAGGGAATGCACTAATAAAAATGGCTAAACATTTGAAGATCCTATAATACTTCTGATTGAGATCTATGATAAATTTTAATTTAAAACAGTATATAAGAATCTTCGAATACAAACGAGAACTAATTGAACTCGAATAGACTGGAAATCTGTTTGGAATGCTAGATCCCCAGAACTCACTTCATAAACAACTCATTTTCGTAATTTTATTATCGAAATTTGATTTCCTCATTTTGAGCTAATGCGCCCACCTTTACCATCAGTTTGTATTGACCACTTGAGTAGATTTGAAATATCATTGGTTCATTTCCTCTTTTAGTACGCTATTCTGTGACGTTTTTCAATGACATTTTTGTACTCTATATATATGCACGAGTTCAGTGCTCGTTCGTTCGTGCTTCCGACTGTTTGTGAAATATACAATTCTCTCAGTTGAATCCGGTCTTCTCCCTCTAGTTAGCAGGGCTGAGGAGCAGTGGAATAGATTAGCCTGTCCTGTTGTGTTGCTGACTTTCATTCCGTTCGCCGTTTTTAGATGATATCGTAACTTCCTCAAAAATAGCAAAATCTGACACAAAATTAAGCTTCAAAGTGAATAGTCTCTCAGGATGGATTTACAATCTGAACAGAAGTCAAAAGGTGGAACGAAGCAACGGTATTTATTTTACTTGACTTAGTATTAGTAGACACTAACAATCAATTTAGAGAAAAAGAATCATAGATTCACACAATTTAACGTACATAATGCTTGTGTTGAAAGATTAATAATTTCTTATCACTTAATTATTACAACAAAATGAACAAGAAATATAATTGATCAAATACCATTTATAAACAAAATACTATAGAGTTACTCATAACTTATAAATATTTAACGACTCAGCCGATCAAAAATTCATTTATGTAAAAGAAGGAAAAACTGTTATTTACAGAGATCAATCAGATTTAACCCAACTAACAGTTACTGACATTTATTTCATAATAAGGATAGATGACAACAACTGTATAAACGAACATTGTCCTCATCATAAAAACAAAGAATTGTTTTCTTTAACCTTAATAACAACGAAAACATATTTACGTCTATAGTATACAGATTTTGCCAGAATTTTAACAGTATAATATTTAAAAAAGCCTTCAAAATGTTTTTGAATATTTCCAACTACTTATAAGTAGATAGAAAAATATAGTCGAAAAAACATGGGTAAACGGACTCATCAGATAATGCGAGATTCCGTTGACTTAATTTTTGTCTGTGAATAGTGTAGTAATAGAGATAAACTTAGGTGTACACCATGAAATGCTTTAATTAATAATCTAGGGATAAAGTATAGAATAAGTTGTCAACGTTTAATGCAGACGGTAATCGGTTCACAAAAAATATTTACTCTTCTTTAGGCAACAGCATTATCTCATTTTCCATATCTTAGTGAAATAGGATTTAAAAGCCAAGTAAACCAGTTGAAAGATGATTACTGATCGAGGTTAACGCGTTTTTTTCACAGAAAAAGACTTGGTCAAATGACAGAGATAATGATATAGTTGGAAAGTTCCAGTGTGTAGGAAATTATATTATTGATATTTCGTGACTTAGTGTAAACCACTTCTTTACAGTAAATATATAAATAACCGAATTAAATTAACAAAAGTGTAAATAGTATACAAGAGACGAAACAGAATACTTTTGAGACAATCAAAATTAATTTGGTTAAGTTGATCTGTTTATGTGAGACCTGCTTGTTTGCATTTATATGATAGTGGGTGTGACTCAGTAGCATCCATTAAATCATAAAACGTCAAAAATCTAGTTTTATCATTTATTTACTCATTTAAGCACAAAAACATTGACACAAAGAGGTGTTGAGTAGATATGTGTCACACTTCGACATTCCATTTCTGCGAGGGCTGGAATACTGCCCGGGCGCCAAGACCGAAGCAGACGCTTTTCTTAGGAGGCCACTCCCCGAGCCTTTGATATACAGGTCTAGTCTACAAGACAGTGGTGCAGCGTTAGGTTCATACGCTATTCTTTGACCACAAGATTCTGGAGCCCATGTACACCATTGGTTTGGAGTCAGGGTTTCCCAACTTCCCTGAGTGGACAGTCCGTGCCCACCAACCCGGTTAAAGCATCAGACATTCGCTTTTTGTCCTCTCGATTTCGTAAGCAACACCCCCACCACGGGAAGGAATTCCCTGACAGTGGCTGTATACGCGTGGACATGTGAGGACTTGACACACATGACATTGGCCACCACCCAGTGACCAATCAATTTTGATTACATCTCAGTCCTACAGGAGATTCGTCGCGACCTGGATAGCTCAATGGTAACGTCTCTGACTGTGAAGCTGGGTGACACGGGATCATATCCGTCAGGGAGCACCAGTTCCCTCAAGATTACAGGTACAACTTTCTGACGAGTGCCAAGTAGCACGAAACCCGAGTCCAGGGTTTCCTGTCAACTACCTCCAACCACCATCTGACATGTGAGAGCATTTCTAAAAGAGCGAACTCTCCCCACTCTCGGTCGTACCAGAGCATTTGGGAGATATTACAAATATATCATTATTCCTATTATTAAAAATCCACCCCATCCTCAATCTATCAGAAATCAACAAGTCAAACCGTGATGATGACATATTAGTCGAATGCTTAGATGATTACGATACGGTCGGAAGGTGAGTGAACTAACTATATACAATAAATTGGTTGAAAATTGAACAAAAAATACGAACTATAAGAATTCTGGTACACTGAATTTAAAGTATTGTGTTGAAAGAAAGTAATAAAAAAACTGAGTTCGATTATTTACCCAGGTGTACAGATGGATATATTACTAAGATGTCGTTAAACTAGGACAAAATATATACAGCTCTCTATATCTTAGTTTTCAAGGCTTAATGACACACATCATATCTGGATTGTAACGTGTAAATCTTCACAAAAAAAATCAACAAAAAAATAATAAAACAATGTTTTATGAACAAACTTACATAAATTATCTTTACAGAATTTATTTTTTTCAACTTGACATTCAATTATGATAACAGGATCAAGGCATAAATCATTTTGTTGATTGTTTGCATCAAATGAATATGCAAGTATTGAAATCTGTGAAAAAGATAAGTTTTCAAATGAACATTTACTCTGAAAGAGTGAATATTGGGTTGTAAAAGAAGAACAACAACAAAGAAAATAGTTGAAGAACACGCACAAATTGCCATCTTGATATTTTGAACTATTAAACGCTTAAACTACTGTTTTTATACTCGTCTATATGTACGTTTTTTGTTTGACTTATAAATTATCATCAGAATGGGGGTTTATCGAGATTGTAGTAATTTAAATAAATGAAATTAATGAGTCAATTAAAGCTAGACCACAGCTAAAATTCTGGAAGCACTGAACGGCCGTTTCGTCATAGTATGGTTTAGAAGTTAAGAGCTCTCGCGTGAGAACGAAGGTCCTAGGTTCGAGTCCCACGTGTGGGCTCGTAGATGCGCACTGCTGAGGAGTCCCATTCTAGAACGAAACAGTCGTCCAGTGCTTCCAGATTTTCAGTGGTGGTCTAACTTAGATCGACTCATGAATTCAACTATTAAAATTATGATTTGTTGCAGCCATTATTATTGCTTTTTAGTTCCGGAATTATGATTAGCCAATTATTTCCACACTGCTTTGTTTTAGTATTACTTATGAATGAGTTACGCATACACTGTGATTGTCAGTGGTGTTAGTATGTTAAGGTCAGATATTTAAAGAACATAAGTGTACAAGTTTCGAGTCATGAATGAATACAGTACTATAGTGATGATAACTGCTTACGTACTTCATTTTCTGACTAAACACTGGATTGAAAAGAAATTTAAGGTCTGAGTCGTTACTGGTTGATCATCGCATCATTAGTAAAATAGAAAGTCGTCAGTCCTACAGTCATAAAGCAAGTTTCAACACAATTTAAATATCTATTTTTTGATGATACAGCGCACATAATACATATCTAAATATAACTGTAATTTACAGTATTTAAACAAGTGTAATTTTAAGCATGAAATTGTTTTATTTAATTACCTAATTGTGTTACGAGAGATGATTTAACTATGATGTAAAAAACTCTCGATTTTATTTAAACATATCGATTGAATATTTGTTAGGTATTTTGGTTTATTTATTTTCGTATTACCCCAGTTCCAAGCTTTTATCTGAACTGTACATTACTGATATAACATTTTTCACTCATAAACTAGGACCAGTGATTCGTGTACCCGGTACTCCATTTTTCCAATAATTTGTATAGTTCTTCTGTGTTAATACTGTTATTTATCTAGTCTACTGAGTGGTCTGATCTTATATGTATGTAAATGAATGTCTGAAATATAATGACCATCTTAAATTGGAGATAATTGATCTTGTGTTACTCTTCTCCGTTCGGGGCTAGTTAGTATTGGGCCAACCATCAAGAATAGAGTATCAGTTCTCTTGTCTCTGTTGCTTATTGGTTGCTTAAGGTTATCTGTGCGCAATGGTCGGTGCTGGGACATAACAAATTCATTAAGTCGCAAGAAATAATTATGTGGACAAGAAACAATCACTTATGTTCGAGTGATTAACTATTCACAAATTATATAGGTTGGAAATGATCAACAAGAAACCATGAACCTATATCTGTTCCATGATGACAGTAACATCAAAACAGGCTTTATCTCCTATCTCAAGTACTAGACGGTACAACACTGATTATTTTTTAGTGACCGATTAGGTTGTACAAAAGTATGATTGATGCATACAAACTGTTTTGGATTTGATCTAAGAGAAAAGAATTTTTTAAAATTCCCTAAAACATATGTTGATACCGTGAATATAGGAAATCACTTGTAATTTGCGTAGATATTTCACTCGGATTATTTTAGAAGATAGGACTTTGATTGCATTTAAATTATTTTGAGTTTAATTATCCGCTATTGGACAGAATAAGATGTTACTCTTAATATTCACCAGACAATCTAATATAGAAAAATACAAACTAGCAGATTTTAGGCTTTTGTTGAAACTAATTTGTAATTAGAATGCTGCTTAAGTTGATATTCATCTTCAATCCTAAAATAATGTTTCGAGGGTTTTATAAATGATAATATAGATCATCTGTGTAAGAACTTAAGTGTGAATATGAACAAATAGTTTCTCAATAGTTAGACTCCGAGTTTCTAAAAGACATTGAAAAAGAAAATTATTATTGTGAAGGTCTCACATTCCAATATCGAAAAATAACTAATAAGTTGCCCTCGAAAATCAGATCTGAGCTTCTCTCCTGATGAGTTATTTTTAATTTCAGTCCCTGAGATTTCTACAAATATGATATCCATGTTAATAAATCTTGTGTGTTTACAGATTGTTCACACAATGATCGGCAATAATGTGTACAGAAAAAAAGATAATAATTTTGGAAATATTTAAAAGCAGACTACTTACATCACTCGATTTACAGTCATCGGGTAAAAGAGAAGAGTCTGTAATGAGTACAGCTCGGGCACACCAACTATGAAAGAAAACAGAGTTAATTATGAGTATTGAATAACCAATTAAACTTGTATAGAATAGTAGGATGAAAGTGGATGCTGTTAGGATGCATGCAAGAGTCAAACCAACTACTGCATGAGAAGGCTAAGAGAGGAAAGGAAACCAATTGAACTAAACTGATTCATAAGCACAAATATCCATTTGCATATGTATCTACTTCTTAAAAATAAAATTATTATTTCGTCAATCACATGTACCTGTCATTTGACGATTTTTGATTGGCTGACTGTATCAGACACTTTCAATTAACATTTCACAAACAAGGAACGGTGTTAAGTCAGTAACGAGGATTTTTATTTTTAGATCTTCTGTTGTGACAAGGCAGTATCACTTTAGGATGCTTGTTATATGTGAAAAACATCTTAATATCAGGAAAACCTATTACAGTTAATAAAGCAACTTCGCCATTGAACTTTACATTTTCTGTTATACAACAAATCCGACTGGTATGGTAAGATCCCAAAGAATAGGTGTACTTAATTATACCTGTTAACCGTCGTTAAGGAGCAAAGACCGTCAACTAGCATTCTCCATCCAACTCGGACCTGGGCAATCCTTACCAGTTGCTATTCATCCATTTCATGTCTGCTTCCAATTCTCGACACAGTGTTTTCTTTGGCATTCCTCTTCCCCGTTTCTCTTCAGGATCTCAAGTTAGCGCATGCTTCATGATCCAGCTTGATGACTTCCTCAATGTATGTTCTATCTCACCTTCAACGTCTTCTCTTAATTTCCTCTTTAGTTGGAAACTGGTTTGTTCTCTTCCACATTAGGCTGTCGTTGATGGCAGCCGACAAAAGGACATTGTGTATCTTTCCTAAACAATTGTTTGTAAATATTGGCACTTTTTGATGGTTGTACTAGTACTCCAAGTTTCAGCTCCGTACAGTAGGACGGTCTTAACGTTCAGATTGAAGATTCTGATTGTGATATTGGTTGACAGTTCTTTTAAGTTCCACATGTTCTTGCTTTGCCGATCCTCGCCTTTACGTCTGCATCCAATCCTCCTTGTTCATTGATGATGCTCTCTAGGTACGTGAAAGATTCCACCTCTTCCAAAGCTTCTCTATCAAGTGTGATTAGGCTGGTAAAAAATAAGTGTACTAAACAGTAAAGATTGAATTGATCGTCAATATAAGCACTTACGACCAATCCTCTTAAATTAGCAGCTATGGTTAAGGTGATATATATATATATATATATATATATATATATATATATGTACATTTTATTTGATACCCCAACATCCCTTCTCGTTTATTCTTGTGTTCAGTTGGGGGTTTTGGCGTGTAGCAAATCGGATATCAGTATCAGATTTTGGACGCAGTTCGTCACAAATAGATAGTATTTATTTAATAGAAAATAACTGAATTTAAGCTACTCTGATAAAAGTAAGCAATCAAATGAACTAATTGATGATTAAAATTGACAAAAACACATGAGAATCTCATAAAATGGGTATATAAAGACAACGATAAAAGACTATGATAAAATACACGCAGAGGTCAATATATTTGAAATTATCAAATCAAATCTTGGATTATGGTGATGGAGATGTATGAGTAAATTGAGGATAGTTTTTGTCAAGGAGAACTATTGCGAACAATATATCATCGGACGACTATTTTAACCTATCTTGCCGATTTTCATTAATGAATACATATGAGATTGAGTCTAAGATTTGCAAATCTAAAGTTATGGTGTTCGCTGCAAAACATGAAGGCTCTAGTGTATACAAAAGTGGGTGAAATAACTATTCAGTGGATATCTATGGTACGTAGTGGTCCTTCAATTGATGTTAAATTATGAGAAAGAAAATTCTTCAAAACTACAAATTTCTCCAACAAGATATACTAGATTACACGTATTTCTGTCTCTTTTTTTTCATACCACTGGTAATATTAAAGATAGATTTAAATGTCGTTTATTGTAACCATTAAAAGCGTAAACAGTCAGGATTGTGGAAAAAACTCACAAACCTTAGTCTTTTCGTTTGATAAGTTAAGTTCAGACACAGATAGTTTAATTCACCGCACAAATAATTCAAATAACAACTCAACATTCAATCCTACAGGATTTCATTCAACAATGAAAGACGTTGTGAATCCCATGAGTAGATTATTTACTTATTTAATTCACACAAAATTTAGGACAACTGGTATTCAAAAATAGTATGTGCCATGGAAAGTAAAATTCGTATGCGAACTGAGATCATTCTTGAGCGTTCAAACCGAAGCAGTCGGTTTTATTATTCCACTCCCTAACCATCGACTAGGAAGTCTAATATACAAAGGAGCAGAAAAACGTCAGACGTCGTCCTATGGTGGCCGGTGACCAAAAATAGGTCTGTACGCCCATATTCCCTTGGGATCCTGCAGCTCATGCACACAAATGTTGTTAATAAGGGTTTTCCAACTCTCCTACGTTGACTTTCCGTATCCACCAACCCTGTTTGGGCGCTAAAAGGTCTATTTACATCCTTTCAATTTTGTAAAGAACACTCCAATCAAGTGAGTCCATTGGCTAGGACTTCCCTGGCAGACACCGTAAAAGCACGACTGTACGAGAGCATTTGTGAACAGAGAGAGAACTCCCACTACTCTCAGCCACACTACATCATTCAGGGGTAGTTTTTCATAAAAAGCAGAACGAACAACAGATTTCTTAAATGTTATGCGGTATTATAAACTTTAGTTTCTAAAACTCATTTTTATAAGGTAGATTTAAGTGGACACTAAGTAGTAAAGAGAATCGTGTATATGACCATAAAAAAATAACAGTAACAGATCCTAGCGTTATTAGCAAACAACTTACTGATTAATAAAATCACTAATCCAAGAATATGGTAAACATTCTGGACATAAAATAACACATTTTGTTTTTATTTTTTTACCATTAGATAAATAAACAATGAATTCATCATCAGTATTATTCTTTGGTATTGACGACGATGATGAAGGGTCAGCTCCTGTCGTTATCTGTTCATCTTTCATATTGGTGGTCAAATTCTCAACAGATCGAATTACTGCATCTACCTCTGACTTTATGTATTCAATTTTTTCTACTTTACAACCAAGGCAAAATGTCGTACCGAAAACAGCTGACATTCTGAAAATATTATTATTTGTAAACAGAGAGAGATAATACTATTTTTATAAAAATGAATAATTCATTATTCAAATATTCTTAATATACCCTCTAAGTCGCAGAAAAATAAGTCAAACAAAAGAATTCTTTTGAAAAAGTTCATTTCCAAAGCTGTAAAAGTCTAGGCATATCCAATTGGAAAATGTACTATTCAGTATACCTATGTACCATCTTACCCCACTGACGTTACTACTGAATGAAAGACACTTTAGCACAGTTGACCGATGTGTGTTTACCAAATGACCCACTCCTAAGGAGTTATGTATGCAGGGCGTTTAACAAGACAAATATTACCCGGGGGCCGAGCCCAGAACAAACGAGGTACTACACAAAAACTAGAACGTAATTGATCTAAACTATTATCCAGATACTCAAACTGGAAAAACTGGGGCATGACTTAAACTGAAAGCAGCTAGCAGAAAGGTGAGTGATTATATCACAGAGCAACATTTATGCTGAAGACTTTTTATCAGCACTATATGGTAATCCTAGGAAAAGGCATAATAAACAGTATTTTTATGCCATGAAGCGGATGTAATTTAAGATCCCTTTCAGTGTCATCTACAGATGAGGAACATAAACTCATTTCAGTTAATAAAACATGGAAAATAGCACTGACCGACAGTATCCTTGAGTTAAATCTCCACTACCATACATTGGCCACAAAATTGGATATGGTCCGAATCGACCCATAGAGAATAACAATCGTCGAATTCTAAAAATGGCCTATTGAAAGTAAACAAAGATTTTGAGAAATATGTTCGCACTTGTTAAACACAATGTTTTAAATGTGAGTTGGATTTATGCGACAGAAAAGAGACCTAGTCACTAAGTTTCGTGTTAGTCAGACTTGTAAACAAGGTAGTATTTGTGATTTTCAGGGAACTAAAACTTTGGATTTCATTTGGACTCATATTATAGTAAGACTTTATCACTGGGTTATTCAGATAGTGAATGATCTCATACAGGACTGAAAATGTGATCAGTACTAGGAGTCAGACAATATGACGTTGATTTCAAATATGAATATATACCTTCGGAAATACAAAAACAAAAACGTAGTTCCTCAGCGGCAGGAAAACCAGAGTTACATTGATGGGAAATTATTCCTAACCCCATAGGGATAAATCTTATTCCAATATAATCAAAAATAAAGCATTTTATGAAACCTTAAAACTTAGTGGAGTTTCTTACAAAGTATAAGATGATTTGGATTTAGAGTTTCCGGTGAACTTTTTTATACAGCAAAATTAGGAATTGTAGTTTAACAATTAAGATTTGTTTTTCAACAGTCAGGTATCGGGGTTTGGTTGAAATAAATAAATAGATAAGTGATTATTCCAGTTTTTTACACTGATTAGGAATCAGAGTTAGATATACCAGCCTGTAATAAACTATTGTGTTGATTGAATTTAATGAAGTAGAGCCTCAGATGATAACTGATTCAACTGGCAAACGACGACAAGGTTATTGTCATAGGTAAATCAGATGCCATGTTCAATTGCCGTCCACGATGGTGTACTAAAAATGGTTCACTAAAAATAGTTGTCTCCAGTCGAGAAGCAGTAATACCATGGAAATTAAACTCTAATTGCTGGCGTCTGCACGTTTTATTTAGACCAACAGTTATATACCTCAAATTGGTCAGTTCGGATTCACACATTGAATTGTCAATTTTTGTCATAGTCGGAGTCTGAATTCGTAGATTAACTAATATGGGTACACTTTATATAACTACTGCATACAATGAGAATAAACCACAGAAAAAACCTGTACCTAACATCTATCTTTCATTCACTAGCTTAATCAATGGTTAGTAATAGCCAAGCTCACTTCGTATTTTAGCTCGAACAACCTTTTATCTGTAGGCAGCAACGGTCACATATACCAGAAACATGTTACACACCATATAGAGAATGAAGCTTAGAGATTTTTTGTATGATCTTCTGAGAGATAACGCTACTGCTTAAACAGATGAGATAGTGAATACATTAAAATCACGTGAAATATTTTGGCCGAAACTGAAATAATCACAAAAAGTAGTCTGTTAATATTACTCTACACCTTTAAAATGAAAAGCATTTTGAGGTTATCACTACAATTCTTTAGAACAAAGTAGTCACATCATTTTTCCATCTAGTAAAATTATATTAACTGCTTGAAGGAAATTGAATAAAAAATGATTGGTGAGACAGACAAATGGAATTTTTATTCATATGAACGATTTACTAGTAAAAATACTGAGAAGGGAACAATCTATAATCATATAGCAGGATACTTGTGGTCTATAAATGACCAAAACAAGGAAGATTATTGCCTTCAACAGACTTCAGCGCCAACAGCCCTAAATGGAATCACAGTAATCAAAACCACATATCCACTGAAGAATGATAAAGTTGAGTATTATGAAGCGTTGAAACAAGTATAGTTCATATACTTCAGTTCCTCTCTATCATATACATTGAAATAGTAAATGATTGAATGAATAAGTTACTGAAGAAAATTTTCTATTTGAACAGCACTACATAGATCGAAATTCCACAACATACATCAGCCACCACCAACATTTGTTACGTTACCCTAAGAAATCCATCACAATTGAATATAGAGATTATAGAAACATCGTGTGAAAACGGGATTTTCATATTTTAAAATATCAGTAGTCGATGTTTTCATACAGGTAGACCAAAAACAGTTGATCACTTTCACCGGCGTGAGATTTGATCAAATTTTCGAGAAGAAAACTCGTATGCCTATAAATTTACTGTTGGCAAACACAGGTAAACGTTATCATGAATCCATTTCCAATTAAACTGAACAAAAACCACTTAATAAAAAATCCACTCTCAATAAACAATATACCTCACCTCTTTAGTTTTAATCTGTTGATTACTGAATGATAGATTAGTTATTAATAATTGTTGAGTAAATTTATCAAGTTTACGTTTTTCAGTTAATAAGTCTTGAAAAGGTCGATCTTCGTATGCTTAAGAGAATTCATTGTCAAAGCAAAAAGGTAAGCAAAAAAGAGAAAAACTCGATGAGAAGCAAACAAATTAATCAAATGTACAAATACAAATGAATCGATATTAATTATACTACAATTAATTATTGCATAACTATTATGATCAAAATAGAATGAACGAATTATGCAAACCAATGACAGCAGACAGTTATATTTGTTAAAACTTTTAAATTAATTTTTAAATCGAATACGAATATTTAATAGGTAAACTGAAAGAATACGATGTGTATAGTTCAATAGTTACGTTCACTTCATATAGAATCGACAGAAATCCGTTTTGTAGTTAAGAGAAAAGTGTAACAAAGAGGATTCAAACCAAGAAGCCATAGTGGACCGACACTTTCAACACAAAAATAAATGAAATAATGTTAAGAATGGAAGTGGCATAAAATGTATAGAATAAATCTTTCACCACAGTCAACACAAGTTAACTCTCAACATACTTATCCAAATCAAGTGTATTTTAATTCCTCGTTTTTTGGTGCAAAATAGGTATTAATAAGGAGTAGTTCTAAGATAAGGAATGACAACTGATAGATACAACTAATGAGTAAGAGAATAGTTCCTGAAAAGTTAGTAGCAAGAAAGGCTGTATTTAAGATGAAGTCACCAACAAAAATGATGACATATATACACTTCTAAAGAACAGTGGTTGATATATTAATTCCTAGATAAGAATCTTCTGTGGGCTTTCATATAAGGAGCCTAGTAATACTGTGGTGTGCTCTACTGATATACACATAAGTAGTATATAAAGATAGGAAGGAGTAGAATGTACTCCAGTAGAAGATCGAGAAGGAAAGAACGGGAACGGAAAGCAATTGGTATGAAAATGCAGGTACAATGAAATCTCAGACGATGGACTGATATTTGCAAAAGAAACAGTCAAGTTTGAGAAAATGGATTGATATTTTGCAAATTAAGTATTTACGGTATGGTTCTCAGATTTTAGTGAGATGTTCTGTAATTGCGGGTTCAAGTGCATTCGATTGTCCCCACTCGTTTTCTTGTTCACTACAATACGACAACCTAGCGAAACATTTCCTACACTGATTTATACTGTCATAAACCGATAGACAGATCCGTCTACATAAAATGTATCACAATGGGGCACAGTGATAAAGTACCAAACACTAAACAATATAGTAAGGGAAAATTTAAGTTATAAAGGCCACAATAAAAAAGTCTACGTAGTTTTAACCTGGATGATCAAAGTAAACAATCGGCGATTTCATAAGTCAATGTCTGGTTACCGAAATAATGTTTCCCAACTTTTGATTGTTCAACATTATAAACTTTGATATAAAATGGCTTCGAATGACCAAAAAATCAGTCTGCGCGAAATCAGAACTTTGCCGTATAGCCTATTGATATTAATTATCATTATTCTACTCCTTAACACAACTTAGCTTAATCTCAAACCAAAGCACAAATGATCAAAGCTCTGACAGTTTTCATGAACCCATAAAGATGTTTTCGCATCTGTGTTAAAGTACACCTGTTATTTGGTAGGTATTTCAATATTCCATTGATGCTATAGATAGTCAGTTGTATGTCTTTTTTAGGTATAAATATATGTGATATAACAGGAGTAACCACCACTATCATAGTTTGACACATATTTTATAGACTATACGCCCCTTTTAATGGTGGAAAGTTTTAAGCTACATGTTATAAGTAGTTGAAAATAATAACTATTGAATAATATACCACAATAAATCATTTAAATTGTGAATTCGAAGGATATTTAAGATTTCTACTTGCCATATATGGTGATTTAGCCTTTATTTTCATATTATTTAGGTAAAACATGAAGATGATTTTATCGTTTAAAATGGTAGACATTGTGTCCAATAGATTTTAGTTACTGAAAATACGACCAGGTTGTATCTCCTCATTAGTGTGGCTATTTGAACGACCCTACAGATCTTCCACATGTCCTGGATATTGCATGTGTCTACATTAACTGTTACTGTGGTTGTCAGGATCCCTTCTGACAACTATTGGACATCGATTTCGTGGCTTCTTAACAATATCAGCTTTCTCGATGAGGCATTATAACTCTTCAATATGAAGATTCTCAACTTTCAGATAAGAGTTCAGATGGTTTACGTTTAAATGACATTTATGTTTATTGTTCTTTTAGTAAGATTTTTATTCGGTATGGGGTTGCTAATCCTACACCGAACTCTCCTTTATCTCGGCTTAGGACCAGCAGTAACTTTAGAAAAGGCTGGTTTCAGACAAAGTCCTTAGTCTTAATACTTCTGTAAATATTTTTTTATTTTCAAGTAGTTTACTTATTTACATTGGAAATGATGATGATGTGATTAACTGCAATCTCAGCATTTAATTCAATCTCAGTAATATGTTGTACGTTTTTCACATTATAATCAGTAACCCATGTAAAGAAAAGAAATCTACATGAATTATGTTTACATGCGTGTTTATTGATATTTATATTAATAGAAATAAGAATGTACATTAGGATTTTCATTCACAGTTTCTAGTCTTGTAGACAGTGTAATAAGAAAACATGTTGTTTTAAATGTTGGTTCATACAAATATGAATTTTTTTAATCACCCATAAAATTCTAACAAGTACTCTGTATAAGAAGAATTACACTAACTAGCTGATATTAGCATCAATTTATATATGGTACAACTTTGTTCTGATATGATTGATAAGTAAATGCCTTACACTATCTGTTTGATTAACTTTATAGGGCTCACTTTTCTGTTTGAACTTTGAAATGTTTGTCTTGAAGTTAGTCAGTCGTCAGTCAACAGATATTATTTAATAAGGTTGTCTGAAGAGCCATTAAAGATAAAGAGCCATCAGTCATTTTAACAAAGCTCACTCACAACCTTACATAAGTTTGTACCGATAACGTTCCAACCTTATGTTACATCTGGTCACCACTAATGGCTATATCGGAATCGATTATTACTTATACTTGTAAAACTAGGAACCACTGAAATTCCCACGACGCGAAGAACATCAAGACTGGTACAAACGCTACATATCATGCTGAGAATAGTTGTGGTAAATAAATACAAGAATTTAGTATATTGAACAAGCACCACACTCAAATAAATTAGTGTTATACCAAAAAAAATATCAGACTGTGAAACTATACTGAGTAATTATATCACATTGGATTGAAAATGAAAGTATTCTTGACTAAAAATTACAATGAGTAAAAGAATGTAATTTCGCTTTTTAATCCCGTCATATCAATATGAATTTAACAGACATCAAAACACAATATCTATGTTAAGAGCAAATAAATATATAGCATGAACTTACCACAATAATCTTCATCTTTTTTAGAATGTGTTGTACTGAGTTGAGTATCATTAATGATTAAATGAAAACACCATTCGAAAAATGCACCTAACGATCTTTTTTGATGTAAACTTAATAAACGTGTTTTAAACACGTCAGAACGACAGACGGGAATCTAATAAAAAAAATAAGATGTGATATATCCATATACTCATTAATAATAAGACTGCAAATCAAAGACAATAAATTAATTTACTGATGAAGAATTTGAAGATACTTTTTATAGTAAATATCAAAATTCAAGTAACACTAGAGAGCTAATTCGGTATCAATGACCAAACAAAAGATTTTCAAGATCTAACAGTGACAATGTTACTATGGGGATTATTCAGCCAAAATGAAACAATTTTCACTCTCTAGTATTTTATATTGTAGTTTTTTGTGAGAAAACTATACAATTAAAACTGTACAACCTCAACAACTTAAATAAAATGCAAACAGTAGAGATGATAACATGCATATGAGTCTTTAATAATTTGAATAAATTTTAATTATAAAAATGTGCAAAACCCAGCTACACTATAAAGTAACAAAAATAAACAGAAAATTCGTAGTCACTTACTTTGACTACATGACCCGTAAAATTTGTTGAGGAAGGTTGGTTATCAGCATTGTTTGAGACTGTTCCAGACTGTTGTGTGCACTGATTATTACCAATATAAGCTAACAGGCGTGATACAAAACGAAATTCTAAATATCTTGTTACATCAGCACGTTGAAGCGCAGTTACTACAGGACTGTGCGAATAAATTATCTGAAAACAAAGAGAGTTATCACAATAATGCATAAACTGACAATATAACTAAACACATTTATGATAATGATAAATAGAAGTGAAAGATCACTTATTGCTTTGTGATATCTATTTTCATGATTGATTGTTTATTTATTATCATACAGTTCTTAACATTTTGAGTGAATATTTGGTGTATACGAAATAACAGCTTTAATCCCTAATATTTTCATATCATTTTTGAGTTATCACATTGTTTATATTAGGGACTGACATACCCTCAAACTTTGCAGTCAGTCAGCTACAACGTAGGACTAGGCACATATATGCATAGGTCCAAGTTACCATACCTCATTAGTACAAGATGAACACCGAATTTATAGTAGTTAATTCAAGGGTAGTAATATATAAAAGAAAGATTGTATATAAGGATATGCTACAGGAAGAAAGAATTGCTTCGTAGAAAGAAAAATATGAAGCAATTTTGATCTCATAGTTTAAGGGAAGACAGGGAGTGTATACACCTACGCCATTGTGATCGATTCTGAGCCATGTCATCCATAGTCTCCAACCATTGGTTACGATAGTCACGCGGACACCAACCAAGTAGTCTGCATCTACCAACATGACTCAGACTAGAAGTTAACGCCCCTAACTTTCTTCCAACCATCCCTTACACTAGTCAGCATTGCACATCGTGGTAATTGGTGTTCAGGCATACGTAACACGTGGCCCAACCATCTCAGTCAATGAAGATTCACAACCTTATCAACTGATTTACCTGCGTCTAACTTCATTATTATTTACCCGGCGACCCCAGCAGGTGCGAGCAATATTCCTAAGGCATCTGAGATCAAATACTGGTACCTTACGAGTATCTTCTACCCTTAATGTCCACATTTCGCAGCCGTAAAGTAGAATCAAACGAACAACAGCGCAGCACACTCGTCCCTTAATTGAGAGGAGGATACCTCGCCTTCACCACAGGTGACGTAAGTTGGCAAAAGCCAAACGAGCTTTCTGAATCCGTGTGGGATTTCGTTAGACACCAACTGATTAGGGCTGAGCAAATTTCTAAGATAAGTGAAGTTGTCGACACGTTAGACTATTTAGTTCAGGTATGGGTCAGGTCAGTCCTAAACAACAATTTGTATTTATAGGGGGAGAAACACATCCTAAACATCCTGGCACTGTTGCCCAATGCTACAAAAAGACTGCATTTTATCAGCGTCTTCACCAAAAACGACTATGTCATCTGCGTATTTTAAGTCAACAAGTGGACTTCCTGGCAGGATACCAATTCCCAAAAACTCAGTAAACGAAAACATTGTTTCCAGCAATAGGTCTATGATGAAATTTAAAAAAACTGGAGATAAAGTACAATCTTGCAGGACACCACTTGTGGTTGCAAAATCAGATAGTTCGCCATACACTGACTCGACTGGTAGTATTCAATCTTTGCTGGTATATTTGTATCCTATGAGGATGGTCTTGGTATGGTCACTATGATGGTTATGTGCCAAGAAAAACTGATGAAACTGCAGTTCCCAACATCAACAATGGGATAACTCAAATTCTTAATAATCCTCGTTAAATAAGTTAACGAATATCAGAACTCACAAGCTCAGTGGATAGTGGATTGGGCGTTTAAAGAGAAAGGTACTGGGTTAAAGCCCCGCTATAAACATCAACATTGGGAGACAGGTACATCCACCTGACAAGCCCCATATGTGGTGAAACGCGCATCCCGAATTTTCATGTTAGACACGACCTATCTAATTAATGTACTCAGTGAGTCTCTCGGCAGCTTTGAATGCTGATATTTCTTCAGTTAGAGATAAGTTTTCTAAGTAATTAGTTTAAGTAATTTCAGTAGTTTTGTTATATATTGTCCAGATATGAAAAGTCAAACTAACAATAATCCAACACCTTAATGGATATAGTATAATACAGTTGCAAACTATGGTCAATTTGAAACACCCTATCGAATATAATTATTTTAATAATGAAAAATGAAATCTTGATCAATAAATTAAAACATTCTTCTTTTTTTCTTAGAAGGAATTCGTCAAAAATACTTACACCATTATATCAGCCGAATCCATAAGATACATAATCCTGTAAGTGGTCTTCACAACTAACTTTTAAATGCTTTCACTTAACTGAGACGAATCATTGTATGCATTCTGACGAGACTTTAGCCGGAAGAATATAATATTAAAATATCTAGAAAGCTAACCTATGGAACTGTAATCACCATTACGTTACATAGAAGTTGAGTTGAAATTTCACGTTAATTAGACCCTAAATAGATATCGACTATATGAATATTCGAATGATTGCTTTTAGACAATTTATAATTAATGAAATTCTTCAAAAATTAATAAACAGTAGAACTGGTTAAATTCCAACTGTACTGTTGTAGTTAACTCACACACCTATTAATTATAATTTAATTTCTACCAAGTAATTTTTCTTTCGATAGAAGACAGTGGTATCTTTCACAGGTGTAATCTATGATACAATTGAATGGCTAGGAATAAATTTGTTAGAAAAGTAAACTATGTTAAGACCATAATATTGCTGAGGTTCAATAATGGGACAATAGTAGTGTAGTGAATGAAGAATTAGTAAAACCGATTCACTGTTTTGTACACAATCACACTACCTCTGTAAAATATGAAAATCATACATTAAATACATAATTTGCACGTCTTTCTTGAGTCGTCTTTTATACACTCGATTCTGTTGCTGTTGTTCTGTTTTCCTTCCTGTTCTCTTCATTTCAATTTTCTGCCAGTAAGCATTTCACTCCCAATTACCACCACACACTACTTATGTCTGTCCGCATAAGTAGTGCACATAATAGTAGTGAGTGCAGAAGTGGAATTTCGATAGATTATGGTTTGCGAACTAAACTGATGACAAGACACAGGTTTAGGCTGTTATCTGATTTAGTAAGAAACACTTTTTCCACTGCAACTGCACAGCTTTAACTGGTTTAGATCTATATTTCAACTACGGAATCATTCTAACAGTTGAGCCAATTAGTTTGGACCAATTATTTATATTTCATGTACTCAGTTTTGAGCCAAACACTTTTCCCCTAATAGCTAGTGATAGTATTAGTCAGTACAAACAAAAGTTGTTGTGACGGTATTCGAACACGCAACACGATTGTTGAAAGATGAGTGTCATCACTCATATTTAGAGACACACAAATAAGTTTTATCTGATTATTATGTTTCAAAGACATCACATTAAAGGAAACCATGCCTTTCGGTGAGGTAAATAAATGGTCACCTGTTGGGCGTTAACCAAGTGTTTTTTAGTAAAGACAGAATCGATTGAAAAAGTGTACATCGATCTTATATGCACTCGTGAATTTAGCTGAACGTTAAGAATAAATCAGATAGCATAGTGATTGGACAGTAAGATTTATCTGAGTTCATTCACATTGTACGTATGTATAGGATTTGAACCGGTGATCTGGAAGTTGAAAGTCGAGTTCCTACACCAATAATCTAAGTCTAATTTATACTTAGGGATTTAATTACAACGGCAATAACTGCTACCCTGACGTAGTGGTCGTGCTTGACAATTGTGATGACTTGATCGCACTATATTGGATGAAACACTTGTTCCTTTAGGTTTTATCATGACAGGGAGGTCAGTTGAAGAGAAGGGTAAAAGCAGTAAAATCGAGGTTTGAGAGTGAAGTCATACTGTTGACTGTCATGAAGTGTGATGGCATCAGGGTGTTCCCCTTAAGCAACTAACGTCTGCAGGGATGCTAACTTCTTACAGAAGGTTAGAAAATGTTGGGCCTAAGAATAACACATTACATTGACCCAAGGTACGGAGCTAGCATATCTGAGACCACTGAATAAAGCCTGAGTAACGAGACTCAAGCCATACCACAGGTTCAAACTCCACTCAAATTACCTTACTTTCACGCCTAGGTGAGTACTACTGGTCCTCATATGGTGTGACTTAGTGCTTGGTACATAAACTTATATTTAGAAAATGAGTATTGACATTTTCCCAACATTACAGTAGTTGCTCAGAAGTTCGAGATACTATTTGGTTGCCAAATACAAAGTAGGGAAAGTAGGGTAAGTAACCCCCATTCGAGTGCTTAAAGTAGTGAGCCGGCTTTACGCATGCTTTAAATGAACGATTCCCTTAGCCGTGGTAAACAAAAGTGATACTGAAATTGATGAAAATAATAGGCTTAATAATTAATAGTTAATACACGTGTACTTAACAATAACATTAACATTACCTTTGGTACTATGTCTATATCATGTAGGCGCACAGCGTTTCGTAGTTTAGACCGAGACCATAATTTTTGGCTCTGGACAATCTTATCAGCGTCATCAGATTTTTGCTCGGTTACTGTAACGTTTTCATGTCCATCCCCGTTGGATTTCTCTTGTTCTTCTCCAAGCTCGCGAACCACACTAGAAATCTCAGTGCTAATATGATCGTGAACAGTGATATCACTAGGCAATGCCATTGTGCTTGGTGAATCATTAATAACTTTTCTGCTCACACTACTGTAATTTTCAGCATCATTATCATCATAGGAATCGAAACTGTCGTCACAGCTATCACCAATAGTAGTAATAAAAAAACAAATAACAGTACCGAATCTTCGTATCACTACAAAATGTGTTAATATTGGCATTAAACAATTAATTTACAACTTATGAGAAATCAACATGAGTTATCTCAGTGACGATGACTTTTTACATAACTACATCTTGGTTCTTATGAACTCAACAAATTATCTCCAGTTAGTTACCATCCGCTAATACCGTTTTAGATCCTATTTTAATCTATTTTTAGTAGGTATGTCAGAATTTACTGATATCTCGACAAAAGTAGGTATACAAAAACTGTATTTTATTAGACAAAAAATATTTCAACAGTAGAAAGCCGATGTTATGTAATGGAAAAAAGTTTTCACACCTCCTAATTCAAGGGTTTTGCGTTGGATTATCTGAAATGACATTGAACCAAATAATAGATTTAAAATTTAAAAAACACCAAATAGCACTCACCCTAGAAACCATTCTGATGACCTGTGAGTGACCAAAGGAGACTCAATCTCACTGAGATCTAAACAATTATCTTTAATGATTGGAAGACTTTTGGGGCAGTCAGGTTCCTAACAAATCATAATAGAGATATTTAAAGTAAGAAATGAACTTACAATTTGACTGAGAAGTTTTTCGAATTCAGGGAATCGTAAAGATGCAAGGACTCCACCATAATAACCATTTCTATGGTATGTTAACATACAAATCATGAGTCCAAATTACCTATCGATATGAAGAATTTGTTTCCCCAATATTGATAAACTTGCAGAAATCAGAGATTCACTTAAGCCTGGGATACGAAAAAAATGAGTTTCGTGAATCAGTACAAATTTCCAATGAAGTCTTAGGTAAATCACTGGGCTATAATCTGTGGAATAATTATCCAGATTTAGGATAACAGGTCTTGGATTTTGGCGAGGAGTTCGTTAAAGAGCATTTCAGCGTTTTAGCTGATATCAGCTAATAATGAAAACCCTAAAACAAATTCCTAAACCCAACAATTAACTGTAAATCACAATTTTTATTCTGTATACAGGTTAATAACTCATTTAGCTTTACTAAGTAGGTGGACATTAGCATCACTCAAAGGTCGTCCGAAAATTATCGACTCACCACTCGAAGACTACGCGGGACTGAGTCTGATATGCGTTCTGTGATTTACATCATCTGTTAGAAATCCACTTTCCATAATAAGAGCCGAAAAGAACCTCAGTGAATCTAGTCGGACCCACGAGCAGACTTTAGAACTTGTATTCGTTTTTCCTCAACAAGCCATGAACTCAACAGTAACTAAAGTAACTAGAATGATATAACAGGCTAGTCTTTGACAGTAAAGACTATTGTTCATACTTTGCAAACATACATATCTGTTTTTAAAAAAGGTATTATCGTGCTGGTTTTTGGAAATAAAACATGATGACCAAGCTGTAGACAAAAGAGATTCCATAAGTTAGACATCCTATCCGAATCTTTTTTGCTTACCGACTGCATCGCAACTTTTTTACACGACAAATAGGCACTATAAAGAACCTTTTACTTCTACTTCACAGTGTAGCTAATCGTGTGATGATCTACAAATCATTTGGATGCAAGTAGAAGTCGGGAACAGGAAACCCTACATATACAAATAGGGTAGAATGCTTGAAAATAAGTATGAGGAGCAAACAAAATGGTGATATAACGCTGAAATAATCTCTATACACTAAACATGATAATAGCCATATGAAGGAGAAAGCTCAGTTAGCTAAATACCAAACTAGTTTGGCAGAATACAGGAAATATGTGCAAGACCATTTAAAATTTAGACTATTTTCAATACTAATAGTCAATGGTGTAATGTCAGCACTTCCCAGCATACCTGTACCATCAATAACACAATCAACCCGCTCCGGGAAATCCATTCGAAAACGTTAACACCAATAACCCTGACAAAGGACACGTTAAAGTTGAATGATTCAAAGTCCAGTTTTAAATTTATTTGGTAGTAACCTGCGTAGCCATTTTCGTTTAACCCCCGCTATAATTTCAGGGAACGCCCATCGCTTAAACACTAAGTTAGTAACAAATAATGACTTCGATAAGGTCTCCCACTCTGGTCTTTAATTCAAACTGGAACGTTTTGGAATCCATTATACAGTAGAAGATTGGATAGGTAACTTTCTTCGTGACAGGAGACAAAAGGTAAGGGTAAACGGGGCTCTCTCCTCGTGAGTACCTGTAAAAAGAAATATTGATATAAATGGGTGTGTAGCGGTAAATAAATCCCCAAAATAAATAGCACTAAGTTTTCGACATTGGATGCTGACCATATGTTTTAGTGGACTCACCTAGCTGAAGGCGCTCGGTCAGGCATCCGCACCAGATCACGTGTGGTAACGCCGTGCTCAACATCAACCGCAATCGCTAGCCAGATTAGATCAGAGAATTCCGATATATTGGTCATCGCCAAATACACTCTTCCGATCTCCTCGACTCTGTCTTTTGATTTCTCTGGGCGGGAACGAAATATATTAGAAGGTGTTACTGGTAGAAGCGTTGTCAAACACTGAATACCTGTGACATCAACATTGGTGAAACCGACGTGATCTGGTACACCTAATTGCAACTGTGAGTCTGTTCTGCGACAGACATGTTGCAACGGATGAGAGAGGTTATAGGCCCAAGAACTTTCGACGAAGGCCTATTCAAACAACTCTTCTTGTCAAAACTTCCCCAACAGGTGCAAGCAGTTCTGGTTTCGTTCCAGAACAATGCCTTAGACGAGCTAGCTGCATCTGCCGACCGCATATTAGAAATTACGAAATCTACTACCGAGGTATTTTCAGTCAAAGAAAAACCTCAAACGACTCAGAATGATATAAACGACTTATGTCACATACTCACGCGTTATCCTAGTCTTCGTACCGACCGTAAGAGATCGCGCACACCACGTAGAAGCATTTCTCGTAAGCGATCTGTCTCTAGACCACGAGAGACAGATAACCCCGACTGGTGCTGGTATCATAACCAGTATGGAAAGCTTTCCAGAAATTGCAGAAAACCCTGCGATTTTCCCAACACGAAACCGACTGATTCGAAAAGCAATTCGGGAAACTTCCAAGCCGGCACGCGTTAACGGCAACCGTAGCCGGCGAACAAAGCCGTCTGTTATTCGTCACAGATGTGACAACGAGAGTTCGTTACCTCGTCGACACTGGCGCAGAAGTTAGCGTTCTCCCAGCAAATCCTAACGACCGACTACACGAATCGACCCTAAACTTACAGGCGGCAAACGGAAAACCGATCGCTACGTATGGCAAAAGGTACGTTTACCTTAACGTGGGTTTACGCAAACCCATCCACTGGATTTTCGTTGTTGCAGATGTTTCTATGCCAATCATTGGTATGGACCTTCTACAACACCACAATCTGATCATCGACACTCGCAAACGGAGGCTAGTAGACGGAAACACTAATTTGTCCGTTTGCGTAACTTCTTTACTGGTTGTAGAGTATCCCCAGTCACAGTTAAACATATGATAGACCCACTCTATCAACCACTACTCGATAAGTACCCTGGGATACAACAAACTCAACCGAAACTACCGTGTGTAACCAGCAATGTTACACATCACATCACGACTACAGGACCACCTGTATTCTCTAAAGCACGACGACTAGCTCCGGAAAAGCTAAGGTTAGCGAAAAACGAATTCGATCACATGATGGACTTAGGAATCATACGACCGTCAAGTAGCCCATATGCATCTCCGTTGCACATGGTCCCTAAAAAGGACAGCAACGATTGGCGTCCAACTGGTGACTATCGGCGATTGAACGCGAAAACCATTCCCGATCGTTACCCGTTGCCTCACATTCACGATTTGACAGCTACCTTGAAAGGTACAACTGTCTTTTCGAAAATCGACTTGGTTAAAGCGTATAACCAAATCCCTATGGCTACTGGCGACATACCGAAAACAGCTATCATAACTCCTTTCGGACTCTATGAATTTTTGCGAATGCCTTTCGGTCTAAGGAATGCTGCTCAAACATTCCAAAGATTCATAGACGACGTTTTTCGAGGTCTCAACTTCGTACACGCGTATGTTGACGACTGTCTAATCGCAAGTCCGGACAGAGAAACACATCTCAAGCATCTGGATCTTGTTTTCGAACGACTTCAAAAACATGGCATAACTGTAAACGTTCAGAAATGCCAATTCGGAACCGACTCGTTAGACTTCCTAGGACACACTATCGATGCTCAAGGCATTCGACCTCTTAGGACCAAAGTGGCGGCCATTCTGGATTACCCAGAACCGACCACCGTCAAGCAATTACGCACGTTTAACGGCCTGGTAAGTTTCTATAGACGTTTCATACCGAAATGCGCATTACTTATGAAACCTCTGACCGACCAACTTCGTGGAAATGCGAAATCCATTAATTTGGACGACACCGCACGAAAAGCATTCTCCACAGTTAAGGAACTGATTGCTAAAGCAACGATGCTCGCACATCAGGACACCCGAGCACCCATTAGCATCGCAGTAGACGCATCCGACTCGGCAATCGGAGGAGTCTTACAACAATGGGTTAACAACTCCTGGCAACCCTTGGCATTTTTCTCTAGAAGGTTGCTAGACACCGAATCGAGGTACAGCACATTCGGTAGGGAACTCCTAGCTATGTATTGTGCTGTACGGCATTTCCAACACTACATCGAAGGTCGTGAATTCACTCTTTTCACGGACCATAAACCGCTCACTTTCTCGTTAAGCTCTCCTTCTGACAAGTACTCTCCACGTGAATCTCGACAACTGGACTACATTTCGCAGTTTACTTCAGATATTCAACACATCTCCGGAGCAAACAATGTAGTTGCAGACGCTTTATCTCGTATAACTTCCTTGAACAGTTTCCAAGGAATCGACCTTCTTAAACTCGCCGAGCTTCAAAAAGAAGACAGTGATCTTCAGCACGAGTTATCGTCCACAACACTTAAACTACGCATCAAACAGATGGGAACGGGTAAGGAAACCTTATTTTGTGACACATCTACAGGTAGGGATCGCCCAATCGTGCCGAAACATTATCGACGCAATGTCTTCAACACATTGCACAAACTTTCGCATCCAGGTGTTCGTGCAACCATCAAGCTCATTGCAGATAGGTTTTGCTGGCCTGGAATGAATAAAGACGTGAGGGAGTGGGCACGCTCCTGTGTAAGCTGCCAAAAATCTAAGGTTATCAGACACAATAAATGTCCCTTAGGCTCGTTTAAAACTCCCGATGCTCGTTTCGACCATGTTCATCTGGATTTGGTAGGACCTTTACCAGATTCAAATGGATACTCTTATCTCTTAACCTGCGTAGACCGTTTCACTCGATGGCCAGAAGCAGTACCTATCAAGGACATCACTGCTGAAACAGTGGCTCGCACCTTCGTCGAACGATGGGTAGCAAACTTCGGCTGCCCTTCAACCATTACTACAGACCGCGGACGTCAGTTTGAATCCGATCTTTTCCGTCGTCTGACCACACTTTTAGGAATCACTCGCTTCCGAACGACCGCCTACCATCCACAAGCAAACGGGTTGGTAGAACGTTTTCACCGACAACTGAAAGCTTCGCTATCAGCTACAAACGTTTCACAGTGGACCGACGCTCTTCCACTCGTCTTACTAGGTATCCGCAATGCAGTGAAAGCTGACATTGGATACACTGCGTCTCAACTCGTTTATGGTACGACACTTCGACTTCCAGGAGAATTCGTGGATCCTTCATCCTCTTCAATGAACATGGATCTAACCTCCTACACGAACAGGCTTACAAACGCAATGCGTTCAGTTAAACCTGCTTCCACTCGACCTCAATCAACTGATGTTTTCGTTCAACCTGACTTACGATATAGTACACACGTTTTCGTTCGTCGAGACTCGCATCGACGACCCTTCGAATCAGCATACGAAGGACCCTTCAAAGTTCTTCAACGTGAATCTAAGTACTATATAGTCGATAAGAACGGAACCAACGATAGCATCAGTATCGATCGCTTAAAAGCAGCGTATTTAGAAGGAAATCCTATCTACGTGGATTTTCCTTCGGTACAATCGAACGACACGACTCCGACACTTATAATACCTCATCCGACAACCAACACACACGATGATACTTCGACAGTATCCGAAAATAAACTTAAAACGACGCGTTCTGGAAGAAGGGTGAGATTTCCAGAACATTTAAACGACTATTGCACGTAAGGCACTTCTCGACATTTTATATTATTTTTTTTAAAAAAAAAACAATTTTAATATGCTTATATATTTTTATTTCTATTTAAAAAAAACAAAAAAAAACAATTTTTTTCAACGCTATTACGTGTTCATGAGTTTATTTTCCATTTTTTTTCCGCCGACATTGTGCTTTTTCGCACATACGAGTGTATTTTCGACATGCACTTACATTTTTTTTCCTTTTCCAGGACGGCTGGAAAAGAACGATGACGTTTATGAGGATCCGAAATTTTCCATGTACATTTTCTTTTTTTACTATGTTGTACCTCCGTCCCATATAGTAAGGAAAGACGACCAGAAGCTGCTAAATTTAGTAAGCTATCAGAAGAGTGTTTACCAACGACAAACTCGTTGGGTTTAAACTTCTGGCTGGCCACGTCTTAGGGTCGTCACTGCCCCACTAGGGGGGGAGTGATCTGTAGCGGTAAATAAATCCCCAAAATAAATAGCACTAAGTTTTCGACATTGGATGCTGACCATATGTTTTAGTGGACTCACCTAGCTGAAGGCGCTCGGTCAGGCATCCGCACCAGATCACGTGTGGTAACGCCGTGCTCAACATCAACCGCAATCGCTAGCCAGATTAGATCAGAGAATTCCGATATATTGGTCATCGCCAAATACACTCTTCCGATCTCCTCGACTCTGTCTTTTGATTTCTCTGGGCGGGAACGAAATATATTAGAAGGTGTTACTGGTAGAAGCGTTGTCAAACACTGAATACCTGTGACATC